TTAGCTGGTGACAAATATTAATGTTTTTGTTTAGTTGACATCAGTGTAAAGATTGATGGGAAGCTGAGATCAGATTAATCAGCTGAGTAAGCCAAAGTTAATTAAATGGGGAAAATGCAGCTGTCTTTTGAAGAACATTGCTCTGTTCCACCTATTTGTTTATTTACCAGTGATGACAGCAAGAGTGAAAAGAAAACATATTTGCAGGGGTTGAAAACCTCACTGTTTAGTTATCATGTTGAGATGGTCTCACCAATTCTATCAAAAGCCTTCCACAGGCTTTCAAACTCAGCAAACAGCCTGCAGTGCAGCTTGTTAGTTTTCAGGAATGTGCTTCTACAAGGGCCAGAAAACCGATGCCTGAGAAGGTAGATCAGCTAAACATCCAGATTCTTTTACATTGGGAACAACAAGGAACATTCTGAGATGTTGAAAAAAATAGAATTTGTTGACCTCTTTGACTGAAGTAACTCCGATGATTCTGTAGGATGCATCAAAAACAGCAATAGCCTCTTTTTGAAATGTTCTTTATTGGTTCTTTATTGTTCTTTTTTTCCATTTTTAGACTTGTTTCTGGTTATCTGAGTCAGTGTTAACTTTTACTTTTCTCCAGGAGCTAATGTCCCCAAGGTGCTGGTCTTCACCACAGAAGGAGAGTTTCTCATGTCATGGAACACAACCACTCTGGAGATGCCTCATGGGATGTTTTTAGCAGATGCATCCTCCAAAGATCCCACCATTTGGATCACTGATGTCGGGGGTGGTCCATATGGCCATTCCATCAAACAGTACTCCCCATCAGGAAAGCTTTTGCAGGTAAATGCTCCTTTTAGATTTTTCTTTTATGCCAGAAACACGATTTTAACACAGAAACATTCTCTATCACTCACCATTGTTTTATAATCTTTTCGCATGTGTCAGGTGCTTGGGACTCCAGGTAAAGCAGGTTCTGGGTTGGACCCTCTGCAGTTTGACCAGCCAGCTGAGATTTTTGTCCATGAATCAGGTGAAATGTATATTGTGGACGGTGATGGAGGCATGAACAACCGCCTCATCAAGCTCTCTAAAGACCAGAAAGTGTTGTGGATGCACGCAGAGAAAGGACAAGGCCTGGCTCAGTTCTACATTCCTCACAGCGTGTCAGTGGATAGTGCCCAGAGAGTGTGGGTGGCTGACAGGGGCAACAAAAGGATCCAGGTGTTTAACTCCATCACAGGGGACTGGCTGGGCACATGGGGCAGCTGCTTCACAGAGGATGCACCCTACTCTGTTCGCCTAACTCCAGACAAAAAATATTTTGTTGTTGTACAGCTAAACACCAATCAGATTACACTGCTGGATGCACCACCTGTTGGGTTAATTGGTCAGTGCAAAGTGGCAAGCGTCATCCAGCTGGCGGAAGATGTGAAGCCCCACCTGGTTGACCTGGATCTAAAGGCCGGAGCTTTGTATGTGGCAGAGATCGGAGCTCAACAGGCTCAGAAATTCACTCCTTTTAGTCTGGGTGGAAGTTTGCTTTGAATGCATGCTGAGTTAAAACTGAAATATTGAATTGGAAGAGCTCAGATGTAACAGAGATTCCAGTTTTAAAATGTGCCAGGATGTCGGTAAGATTTCTAATTATGTTTTAGAAAAAATAAATAAATAAATAAAATCCTCTCAAGCTTAATATTACATGTCCTATATATCGTCTGGTAAATCTTTCTCTAAGAAATCTCGTCGTGAACTGAAAGTTTACCAATTGTTTGAATGACCTTTATTGTTTCTGCTGTTTAGTGCGTGTATGTGCCATGTCCCTGCCAGGTTGCACTGCTTGAATACATCAAAATCCATATGAAGATGAGTTTATTTTTTTCATCCTGCTGTTGACTCTTGAAGCTGTTTGTGCTTCATGCTGACTCAGTTTGTACTTTACAAGATTTAACCTGACATTTATTCTCAGTGACGTGACCCATGTTTCAACTTTATAATGGGAATTGTTTTGCACTTTTTTTTCCTGAGTCAGAGTTGATTCTAATGGAATGCTTGTAATTTACATGTAAAAGTAATCATACCGTAAGTAAGCTTGTAAGTGATGAAAGTGAAAAGAATTGTTGATATTTCTCTGTGGTTCAAGGCTGAACCAACTGTCTGAAAGAATAATATGAGTTTGGAATTCAGGCTCTGGTTTACTTTGAAGTATAGTTGTTCTGTTGGCGTTAGGGTATAAAGACGATACTTTTTTTTTTATTATTTTTGTGTGGTTTTCAAGTTTTTTTTATTCTTTTGTTTGTGATTAAAATCAGGGATATTAATGATGGATACATTGTAAAAGTATAATTGTTCTGTTCTTTTGGTTTTAGTATTTAGAAATGAGTTTCTATGAAATTATTGTGAATTATAGTTCCCTTGACTGTGGTCGAAAAATGTCATGACTCCTAACTTATTGAAAATGAAGAGAAGTGAGGATGGTGGAAGCTAACCACTAGTGACACCATCTGTAGCTGGCGTTAGCTACTTAAACATCTCAGTCTGTTAATGTTTGCTAACATGATAAAGTATACCATTTTATTAACATCTTTAGTTTTCATTTTAAACAGCTTGTCAGTTTAAACAATGTAGACAAGGGATCTATCACTGTAATGTTTTATAGAACCTCACTTAAGTATTGAGGTTAAAACCTGTCTTATTTAGATGTTTTGTTAAGATGATTTTTTCTTCTATTGTCATAAAGCCTGCAATTTCCTTCAATGTTGAGTGTTTTTATTTTAAATATCATTACATATATCACTATGTAATAAACAAAATTAAGGCAGAATGTGAAAGCAGTGTATGAGAACTCAAGTCTACATGATTTGTTTGGAAACCTCCCTTTTTCAGAGTCTTACATTGCTGCTAAAGAATTCAGTCAAACTACTTTATATTGTTGCTTCAGTTCATTGAATGTTCCTCCTAGCAACTCATCAAAACAAGTCATACACCTGACTGTCTGACTGTGCTGCCATCACTTTAACTTCCACCTTTGGGAATTTTGACAGCAGTCATAAACATTTTCTAAGTATTCTTACTTCAGTGGCTTGAAATAGCATTACAACCCTTCTTAGACTGATGGAGAGCAACAGTTGCTGAAAGAATGTGATTTATTTATCTATTGTGTGGTCCAGACTTGTTTGCACCACACCATCAAACTGATAAAAGTCCTGCTGTTCTGGAGATGGACACGTACTCTGATGATGAGTTATAAATACATTTGATTAGCCTGGCTGCTACTTCTTGTTTTAATTATTGTGGAAGCATTAAGAAGTGTAGTTTCTCCTGCAGTCTGGCTTTTCTATTGTAAAAAAAAAAAAAAAGCTGCTTTAATGTTTTTCTCACAATTTTGATTAGTTAAAACTGAGTACACA